GCAGGACGCGTGAAAATTTGTTAGAAATCGGGACTGTCCTGCTAAAAGCGGGACGCCTGGTCTGTTCACCTTAACTGGGAAATAAAGGCGTGGAAGGTAAGCCCCGCTGTCCTGTAAGCAAGTGAGGCCAGGCTGTTGGTTTTGTGGGGCCAGGGCTTGAAGCAGTAGTATATGGGAGCCTGCCTTAAAGCTTCGTTGATCTTCTCAAATTAATTACATGCCACAGCTTAAAATCCAACCAATATTCTTTGGAATCCAGCCTAGCAGTCCTAGAACAACAGATGGTTTCATTTGAGGGGAAGCCCCCGGGGCTGGATTGGCATGGCCCACAGCTGGGACTGAGCCTCGTCACTTCCTTGGCCTCGCTGAAAGTGCTCAGAAAGAAGTCAAAAGGAAGACGACCAGACTTTAATGAAACTTTCCATAGGACAGTTCACACTGGAGAAGCATAAAGATGTGATTACAACTTAAAATGAAATTGGTCACCTGCACAATTAAACAACCCTCCTGAAGTCCCACAAACGAGGCTTCATGGCAAATGATGAGAGCAGAGCTGCAGCTGTCGATGGGCAGTCTGGATCCAGCACTTCCAGACCCGGGGACCACACACGAGGGCCGCGGGCTCCTGTGTGCCACCGCTGTGTCCTCCTGCTGCTTGTGAGGCTGGGTGTGCCCAGGGCTGCATCCCAGCCACCAGGCTACAGGAGCAGCCTTTGCCCTGCGCCTTTCCGGTGCCACTGGAGCAACGAGGCTCACAGGAGAGATTGTGGAGCAGTGGAGGAGACCAAGGTGGGGCAAGTACACCTAAGCAGACTACGTACACTAAACCCACAACGGCGGTTTGGCTTTAGGAAATAAACATGCCCCCCACCCTACACGTCACACTGAACCAGGGCCAAGACACGTAACTGGTTTAATTCTATTACATTTATCATCACTATACACTGAGTAGAATACAGTGGATAAGCAAAGGTTCTCCACCATGGAGAGAGATTTGTGTTGCCACAAACTGTTTCTACCACCCACTGGTGTGGGAGGAATTCTAAGAACGCTTTCTTGTTCCAAAGAGCCACGTGACATGGCGTGAGGCCCTGCCTCAGCATAGGCTCTCCAAAGGAGATGCCACGTACCTGCTGGAGACCACGTGGCACACGGGAAACATCCCTGAAGAGCACAAAAGGGTCGGCGTTTGAAACAGATGTGTGTGGTAAGGCTGCAGCCGCATTTCTAACATACAAACAGGCACATTTACATCCCTGGTGATCAAGTGCATGATTCAAATGGGTCCAATCGCTTTTCTCAAAGAGCCTCCAAGATAGCATGTAAACATCAAGCAAGAAAAAGACTACAAGAACTTAAAGGAGAGGTGGATTCATCTCTTAAGCCAACAGTTGCCTGTCGGAAGTCCACTTCCCACAACAGTCGTTCCAAGAAGTTAAAGTGGCTCTTCCCCAGCGTTGCCACTGCCCGGCCTTTATTGTCAGTCATACCAGCTGCCCTCAGAGACCTGTGTGACAAACGAGACTGAGAAGCCACAGCGCTTTACCCCTCGAGGAAGCCGCCTCGAATCACAGGAGATGCCTAGATCCTCTTCATCTACACGTTAGTGTGTTGACACTGAGATGGAATCGGGTCAAGCGTCACTTCCTTAGGTAGAAAACAATCAGCACAGCAGTTTCATATGGCTTGACCAAATACAGTTAAGAATATTTTAAATCATGTTTCTATCTGTCCTTAGGACCCTGTTTGTGAATCAGGTGGCCTTCCCTCCTGCAACGGTGCAAACGAGGCTGTAGTAACGGCTGCGGTTCTAGGCTTGCACTGGGTGGTCCATGTGCTGAGGAACAGTTCTTACATGGAAACAGCTATGTGGCTACTGGAAAGTGCCATTTGAGACGAAGCTGGAACTTGCACCTTGGCGGGTTTACATGTTTACCCAGCCGCTGTTCTGCTACAAGAAAGGTGTGGGGTGGGGCCACTGGCCAGCAGGGAGGGTCACAGAGCCTCTGCTCCTGCACAGCTGCCTGTCCCTGTCACACACTTGACCCACAGACCTGGTGGGCTGGCTTCACAGGAAACTGCCCTCCCTTGGCCAGCGTATAGCAGACAGGAGGAGAAGGGTGAGGGACGAGGACCATGGGAACGGCTCAGTGAGCCGATGCTTATTCGGGGGTTCCTACTCTAAAAACTTGCAAGCACTGCCACCAAGCCACACCCACTGTTGTGGAGTCCACCTCAGCTCCGTGACCCCGCAGAGCAGAACCAGCCCGAGGGAAGCAGACAGTCGAATGCGTTCCCCGCTGCTCCAAGGCAACAGGCCGGCCAGGACCCTGGCAGAAATCACCGCCACAGTGGGATCAGAGCTCCAAATTTCAACCTGAGTTACAGCGAAACGGTTTGTACCTGTTTTTCTTGAGAGCACATTTTACAACAAAGACCACTAAACCCAAGACTGGAAAGTCTGCTGATTCACGGTGAGACCATTTCCCACGTGCTCCGCTCCGATAGGCCAGGAAGCAGCCAGCCTGGCTTCCTGCCACACGACACCCTGAGTGGGTGCACACGGCCCAGCTCCCACAACAGCAGCTGGGGGGCGGGGTGGGGTGTCAGGTGCTGACTCAAACAGGCAAAGGAACATCAAGATTTCTCTCTGCATTTTAAAACACCAAATGGTTGTGACCTCTGAACTTTTCCATACTCTCATCTCCCGATGGGGGAAAACAAAACTCAGTATCCCCAAAGCAAACAAGCACAACTGAAAGTCATTCCTGAATTTCCAGTGCAGGTACAACAGCCGTCTTATTGAATTAGTGCCAAGGGCAGCAGTCTGAGAAACCCGAGCAACTACCACCTGGTCTACCTAAGGATGCCTAGGTGCTCCCCATCAGGCCAACGGAATGGCCGCTAAGCAGTCGCCGATGCAGGGCCACAAAGGACATGCACACCGGTCCGGAGCCTCACTGCTCCCACTGCAGCGGGAAGGGCTGGGCGCCTCCTGCGGGAGCAACAGAAGCATTGACGTAAATGTGCCTCAGGGTGAACCAAAAACATGACTATAAAAAGGCAAGTAGAACTAAGTTCTCAACTCTACATAGAAAAACTGACTTCTTACAACTAAAGCAGCAAATCCGAGTGTCTGCCGAGGTTTTCTGGTAGAACAAGAAATAAAACAAAAATTGGTGCCCATATTCAATAAGTCACTACCATTAACAAAACTATAAATCCAAAATAGGGAATTGAAAAGTGCATAATGAAATTAACTCTCGGATCAAGTATTTATGGAAAATTGGAAATGTTTGTCCGGTATCGTTGATGGATAATGACGGAGAGGAGGTATTAAAGTTTATCCGCTCCAGTTTTGGCCTGGCGTTCCACGTAGAACAGGATGTAGGCCTTGGCCTTCACCACGGTCTCTTCCTCAGTCAGTGTTACAGTGCTGTCATTGAAATGGAACCAGCGACCTTCGTGAGCTGCAAATGCTGTGTAATGCCCAGAGCCGACCCTGTAAAGAAAAGGCAAGAAAAGTCGGGGAAAAGGGGAACAGAACGCAAAAGCACAAAACATTGGTGAAACCGTATCATCCTTAAGACACACAACACAACCTAAGAAATGCTAATGATGGACTGCTTATGTGCAACCAGAATCTCATGGGATTTGATTCCTGGACTGCCAGGTTTAAGGTCATGCTTTTGTTTTGTCTTGAATCATTTTACTGGGGGCACTTACAGATCTGATCACAATCCATACATCCATTGTGTCAAGCACATTTGTACATTATGTTGCCACCATCATTTTCAAAACATTTTCTACTTAAGCCCTTGGTATCAGCGCCTCATTTACCCCCCTTCCTCACCCTCCCTTCCCTCCCTCATGGACCCTTGATAATTTATAATTTTTTTTTCATGTCTTATACCAACCTGTCTCCTCCCTTCACCCACTTTTCTGCTGTCCATCCCACTGGGAAGGGGTTATATACAGATCACTGTGATCGGTTCCATCTTTCTTTCCCCTTCCCTCCTGGTATCGCTACTCTCATTATTGGTCCTGAGGGGTTTTATCTGTGCTGGATTCCCTGTGCTGCAAGCTCTTCTCTGGACCTGTGCACATGTGCTAATCTAGCCAGATTTGTAAGGTAGGATTGAGGTCATTATAGTCGGGGGAGCAAGCATTAAAGAACTAGAGGAAAGTTATAGGTTTCATCATTGCTACACTGCACCCTGACTGGCTCGTCTCTTCCTTGTGACCCTTCTGTAAGGGGATGACCAATTATCTACAGATGGGCTTTGGGTCTCCATTCCTTGGTCCTCCTCATTCACATCGATATGATATTTGTTCTGGGTCTTTGATGCCTGATAACTGATCCCATCGACACCTCGTGATCACACAGGCTGGTGTGCTTCTTCCATGTGGGCTTTGTTGCTTCTCAGCTAGATGGCCACTTGTTTTATCTTCAAGCCTTTAAGACCCCAGATGTCACACCTTTTGATAGCGGGGCACCATGAGTTTTCGTCACACCACATTTGCTTATGCACCCACTTTGTCTTCAGTGATCCTGTCAGGAAGGTGAGCATCACGGAATGCCAGGTTATTCGAACAAAGTGTTCTTGTGTTGAGGGAGTACTTGAGTAGAGGCCCAATGTCTGTCTGCTACCTTAATACTTAACCTATAACTATATATACATAGATCTATTTCCCCATCATCATATATAAATACATTTACATATGTACATGCCTATATTTAAACTTCTATAAATGCCCTTTGCCTCCTAGTTCTTTCCTCTATTTCCTTTTACTTTCCTCTTGTCCCACTATCATGTTTGGCCTTCATTTGGGGTTTCAGTAATTCCTCTTGGCTACATTGCCCTTGACTAAGCCCCACCAGGCTTAATCAATTTTAGATCACTCGTTCCCTTGTCCCTGGGTTTGTTGACACCACTTAAGGTCGTGTTTTCATGGGACGTTCGGGTTAGCTGGTCTAATAACATGTTAGTGCTTCTGTTCTTCCTCCCTAGTTTGTAGCACAATGCTTCAGGTCTTAGGAGCTTACAAGCAACCACTCAAAGTACAACAACTGATCTCAGGTCACCTGGGAACAACCTAAGTGAGAGCGGTGGAAGTTATGGACCTGCCCTCAGGAACAGCTGCCCCCTTTGCCAGGTCCCCAGGGCTACCATTCCTGAGCATTTTGATACAAGTTCCGATAGAAGAACCTGATCACTAAGGGGAAAAATGTAGAACAGAAGTTCAAGTTCTCATGGGGTCCATGCATTCTAGAGCAGGGGTCCTCAAACGTTTTAAACAGGGGGCCAGTTCACTGTCCCTCAGACCCGTTGGAGGGCCAGACTATAGTTTTAAAAAACTGAACAAATTCCTACGCACACTGCACATATCTTATAGTAAAAAAACAAACGGGACAAAAACACCCAGTGGGCCGGATAAATGTCCTTGGAGGGCCGCAGTTTGAGGACGCCTGTTCTAGAGCCGTAGAGACTGGGTAAATAAACTCCTTAAACTATTGCCCAGCGATCATCTTTAAACCAACGCTGTGCCCTTGAAGTTTTCTTAAAACCAAGTACAAGTTTATCACAAGTACAGAATGTCTGCCTTGAGTACTGTTTCTTTAAGAACTATGTGGGGTCAAACAGGTGGCATAGGGGCTACTTGCTGGGCTGCTAACGGCAAGGTCAGCAGTGTGAAACCACAGCTGCTCCGATGGACACAGGGCTTCCTACTCTTCCTGTAGGGCTATGAGTCCAGAGAGAATCAACTCCACGGTGAGAGTTTGGGATGTTTTGTGCGATTTGTTTTGTTGGGGGTGGGGCTGTTGGATTGGAACTATCAGATAGGAAACTTCCCAGATAGTGAGTTTGTGTTAATGAGGGAGGAGGGTGTGATGCACTCCTTTGGGGGACCCTTTACCTTGGGTTTTGAGGGGAAGAGTTAGGAATTTTCCCTGGGTCCTGAAGGATTACCTTTGCCTTTGCTTTATATGCAGGGGTGCTTACTTTTGTCCAGGTGCCATTTCCTGAGTAAAAGTGGTTTGACACCACGGCTTCCCTGTGGTTGGTGTGCACTTTGCAGAGATTGGTCAATTGACTATGTAAATGAAGTGACTATATTAAAAATATGTATATATTGCCAGTGAGTTGATTCCAATTTCTAACCCTACAGTGACAGAGCAGAACTTCCCATAGGCTGCACATCTTCATGGAAGCACACTGCCACATCTTTCTCCTGCAGAACGGCTGGTAGGCTCAAACCATCGACTTTCCATTCGCAGCCCAATGCTTTAACCATGTGCCACCAGTGACTGTACCCACACTCGGAAAGACCTTTTCTTTCGGGTTTCTGAGACTAAATCTACCGGGGCAGGCAGTCTCTTCTTTCTCCTGCAGAACAGCTGGTGGGTTCTAACTGATGACCCATGGTTAGCAGTCTATATCACTTAACTACAGTAAGTGTGTGGCCTACCAAGAAGGGGTGGGTCAGTTTGTGGCCCTGGTGGGTGGACCACGCCTTGACATGGAGTGGTAGCCAGAAGCCGACAACCCCACAAATGTTTGAAGTAGCAGGAAACTGCAGACAGGAGAAAACGGGAAAAGAGGCAATGGTTCTCAATGCCATCGAGTTGGCTCCTACCCATAGCAACCGTATAGGACAGGGTGAAAGTGCCTCTACGTTAAAGCAGGCAAAAACTCTCAAAACCAAACTCACTGCCGTCAGTCGCCTCTCACTCAGCAACCCTGTAAGGCAGGGTAGAGCTGCCCCTGGGCTTCCCGAGGCTGGAGCTCTTGACAGCAGGGTCTGTTAACGGCGGAGGCTGTGAGTCCTGGTGTCAGAAGGCAGGGCTGAGCAGAGCTGCCCGAGGACCGGGAGGGGCCTGCACAGCTGATGCTCTCCTGCTCCAGGAAGAGAGACTTTGCCCACCTGCTTTCTGTTCCTAAGGTTCCTGTGTTGTCTACTGGCTGGGCCCGATCCCAAGCTGTACTGCTACTTCCTTTAAAATCCACTGTACTGTGGGTTGTGTGCGGCCACTGCCAGGAGCAATGGGACCTGGAAGAGAGCTCGTGCATGGAGGGGCAGTGGTGTCAGAATTGACAGAAGGTTGGAGGGTGGAGGTGTGTCTGACAAGTTCTGACAGTGCTGCCCCTGCCAGTTTACAAAGTTTCACACATGGAAGAAAGTGGCCGGTGTCCCGAAATTGCACCTGCAGAAACTGTTGGATCGGTGTATTTTATGTATGGCCTTCACACAAAACATGCAATCCATGTATGTACATATGCACACATTCAAAACATACATGAAAAACCATGTACTGCGGCCTGGGCGGGGCCAGCCCACCAGACACACTCACCCAGACCCATGGTGCACCACGACGGCAGCCAGGTCGTAGAGGCAGCTCTCCGGCCCGCTGTTCTCAGGCTACAGGAGAGACAAGGCACGCAGGCTGAGCCACGAGCAGTGTCACTGAAAGTGACATCCCCGACTCGACCCCTCCCTTGTTCACAAGAACCGCACTTTAACCCAGTTAACAAAGGTAACCACCTTACCTCTAATAAGTAGCATTTCATGTCTAGACCTCTCAGAGGAAATTCTACGTATGTGTCAACTTTGTTTCTTAAATAGGCTGTCCAGTGGAATCTTTTCAAATGTAAGCATAGCACCTGGGTGACAGGGAGGGACAAAGAATATGAGCAGACATCTACCTTACCTGCCAACCGCCATTCACTACTTGACAATGTCTCTCAAAAGTATTTTCTGTTCCCTACTCACTCACTGATACTGCTTTCTCCTGTACACATCTTAAGTACTCTCAGGGTTCGGCTTTTACTGGAAACCCTAACGGCCGTTACAGAGCAGAGCCGCGACCACAATCGTCTTCGTACCAGGAGTACGCTTCTCCTTCTCTAGAAACTGCATCGGGACTTGGGATTTCAACACTTACCTTGGGTAGCTTTTGAATCCAAAACTTTTTAGTGGACTTTTGTTTCTTTTTACATTTATGGCACATATATAGCTCTGTCTCATCAAGTTCTTCTAAGTCAGTAAAACTCCGAAGACAATCTGCAACAAAACGGATTGTGGCCGCATTAAAACCGGGTAGAGGTACTCACTGTACTGTGGGGGCCAAGACTGGAATTGAGGATTATAGGTTCAAGCCTTGTAAACGTCTGCTGCAAAATGAAGACAAACTACTGTGCGCATGTGAAGCCCAGACATCGTGCCTGAAGTGTGGTGATAATTAGTAGCAGATGACATTGTTGTTGTTTGTTCTATTGATGAAATAGCTAGACTGGAGAGCACCTGTATAAATGGTATGCTGACGAAATAAAGGGTCCAATAGCAATTGTATATCAGTATCCTAGATATGGAGGCGAAAGCGCCAGTTCATCAGAGTCAAATTCAGGTTAACCCTTTTCACAGACCCAATGTATTAAATAATGAACACAGATTACAGATGGCTACTGCATCAGCCATTATCTTCCTACTAAAGCACCCACCAATCAGGAGCCCTGGTGGCAAAGTGGTTAGTCACTGGGCTGTGAACCTCGGGCTTGATGGGCCAGCACGTGCTCCACTCCACACACACACACATTTTAAAAGAGAGAGACAGCTATATAGCGAGCATGCATATATCCTTGCCATTCACTGACAGAGCACTAGCCAGCTAAGGATCTGAAAAGGACCCTGAACTGCACAGCACTATGAAAGTTTACAGCAGCACGAGGGTGACCTTCACCTCAGCTCACAGGGGAAGTGAGAAGACTGGCTCTCCCCAGCATTCATCTCTCGGGAAAGCTTTGTTTTTCTCCACTTACCTTCACATGTCTCATTAAGGATCCCAAGAAGCTGCCAAAATGTTTTATTGGCATTTACTGTATTACATGCGGGGGAATGTGCCACGGCGGTTTTGAAACCCTTTACAACATTCTCAGGAGTTCCGTGGCATTATTTCACAATGGCCGTCTTCTTCCGCCTCACAGACTGTACCTGCTAGAGCAGCCCCTGTGCAGAGCAGAGGGTGCAAGCAGTTTGCTGACGTTATCAGAGCCCCTTGGTGCATTATGTGACTTTTATTTTAAACAGCCGTCGCTGGAAAGTATGCTTAAGTTAATAAAGATTTAGTTTTACTACAAAATATGTACACAATTATCAAGGAGACACAAAACAGATTTTGTTTAAAGAATCCAAGTAATGTATGTATAAAATAAATTACTTCCTCCTGAAACTTACGCCCCCCCACACACACAAAAAAAAATCAAGTACTTCCAAGGAGAATCTTTTTAGTCCATGACTTGCTCCTTAAACTATCAAGTTGACTCCAACCCCGAGGGCCCTTGCAAGGCAGGGAAGAGCTGGCCCAAAGGGGGTTCCAAGACTTGAACCTCTACAAAGCAGACTGTCACATTGCCGCTGGTGGGTTTGAACCACCGATCTTTTGGTTATGCAGCCAAGTCTTAACCCACCATGCCACTGGTTACATAGTGCAATTTATGAAACCAATGTCCTAACGGAATTTTTACGACTACTGTGAAGAGGATCTTTTGCTATGTATAAAAAGGCAAGTGTTTTGGTCTACTTTTTCTATTTCCACCCTACTAAACTTTTTAGCTCAATATTTAAAAGAATTCGAGGAGACTCCCTGCGCAGTGCCACTCTGCAGAGGCCAGGCTGCCCTTGCCCCCATGGCTTTCTGCTCCCAGTGGCAAGTAAGGTGGGGCAGAACTGCCCATGTGGGTTTCTGAGACTGAATCTTCATGGAAGCAGAAAATCTTAGCTTTCTCCAGAGGAGCAGCTGGTGGATTCGAACTGCTGACCTTACAGTTAGCAAGCAGCCCAGCACATAACCATTAAGGCCTGGCAGCGATTGTTAAAAATCCTCTTATTTTCCAACCAAGTTTCTTGTCGTGTTCTAGAAATGCAGTCACCTCAACTGCGCGTGCTGCTCCTTCCTTCCTCCATTCCTGACTGGCGTCTCTGTTGTGTGTGCTGCTATGGCCTGTGCTGGATGGCACTAGTAGCACCAGGCCTGCTGGTGATTCGCGATTTTAATGGGCAATTGCTAGTGCTTCACCAGTAAGCAGGATGTTCGCTGACAGCTCCGGATACACAATCCTCACAAATGAACACTGCTTTTCAGAGCCAATCAAGAGTATCCACCCCCTCTTTAATTAGTAATGGATTTAAATTAATAAATAATAATTTCTAGTATTAATCATCCTTGCATTGTTAGAATAAATCCTGCTTGATCTCAGTGTGGTATTGCTTTAGGATGGTGGATTAGTGGACTTTGTTTGCTAATATTTAAGACTTTTGATCCACAATATGCATATTAGGTTTTAGAACTGGGAGGATTTCAGCTCCCCATAATATGTGTACTTTTAGTTTAAAAACTTCAATCCTCAGGGGTCTCTTTCGCCATCACCTTTTCTTTGTAAATGAAAACAAAGCTTAACAATTATAGACCCTGGGCATTTATAGAGGTCTAGATAAAGACATATACATATGCTGGGGAAATAGATCAATGAGCCTGTATTTATAGATTTAGTATTAAGGTAGCAGAAGGACATTGGG